GAAACCAGCAGTAGATGGTGTTGGGTGCTATCAAGGTGTTTGCGCGATATACAGTTAGCAGTATGGAAAGGGATGAGTATGACAGTGAAACCAGCAGTAAGACGAAATTGGGGTTGGACGTCCACGCTATCAAGGAAAAGGTCCGAGCCATGGGGAGCAAAAAACCGACGCCAGACCGAGGGCTCATTGACGCCGAATACATGCAGGGGCCAAGTAGAAGATCGGGCCACACGTTCAGGGACACTGATGGTATCGGGCTAGGCAGCAACGTCCCATCGTGGCCTTGCTGCCAAGCGTCATCGGCCAACTGCGCTGCGCTGGGCTCAGGAACATCGGACTGTCCATGGATCAGTGGGAGAGAGTGCTTTCAGATGCTCCGGTTGGTCATTCATAACGCCGATGCCTTGCAGGATACGCCGTCTTCGGCGACAGGTTCTCCCTCCCACACTGTAACCCAACCGGTGTTTGTTTTTTCGGTCCCGGTTCTCTATTTGCTCTACCGGACGTTTTTGCGTTCCTGGAACCCATGGTTATGGTGAGGACCATGAATGCTATAGGGTATGAACATCATTGTGACCGTTGCACTCTTACATGGCATCTGTTTCGCCTGGATGGATGTTAACAGACAACGCCCCTGTCACAAGGCTACAATATGTTGGAGTGGTTCAAGGAACATAATGATGTTTCCGTAATGTTGGAGCCTAACTCACGGGATCTCTCGATAGAACACATTGGGGTGTATGGGACGCAGCCAGAGTAAAGACCACCATTCGCAATATCTCGGTTTGCGGACCGTTGATACCACATCTGTAGATCTGTCTCCGGCCATCTATCAGGACTTGTGGCATCCACGCCAAGGCGGGTTGAAGCTGTGTTGCGCGCCAAAGGTGACCCAACTCGTTATTGACAGGTGGTCATAATGTTTTGACTCTTGAGTGTATATTACAAGCTGTTATAAATGAAAAAAGGTATGAATACTAAAGTATTAAATTTTGTTCCCACATTTTGCTATATGATTTTGCCAATACTTTTTGGTATACAAATTTACGTTTTTGTTGTATATTTTGTATAAAAAGCATATTAAAACGAAAGTTTCATCAGATTTTTCGTACTTATTACCTTCTGTGATCATTATGTCCACCTAAAATTGCCAAGCATTTCCTTTGTTAGCTATACATACTGCTTAATGAACTTTTGCATGCTGTGATTATGGATAAAATGGCTCCCTTCGTGAACTTTATAAACTGCAATAAACCAATATATCTGAAATAACCCATGGACATCCACCTCTTTAGCATATTATTACAATCATTTAACATTGTGGCCAGTACTAATTGAATCTCATTATGTTTATCGTTTATTAATAGTTTTTCTTTTTGTTGACCAATCAGATGTTCAATTTATCTGTGAATCTCAATTGTATTCGACTATTTTGTATCTACTTATGTCCTACATCATTATTTTAATTAAATACTGGATGCAGGGCGTACTGTGGGATTGCCCAATGTACCATAATAGGCAAACTCTAGACCTTTTGGAAAGCTTCAGTCTATGTAAATTCCTATAAAATAACGCCGATGGCCGTGTCTTGCAATTACCCCAATTATAAAACTTGCAATTACCCCCCCTTTTTTAAGAGTTAGTATGGGAAGGCATCACCAGTTGACCTATGGTACATCGCTGGTGTCCCCCATACTTTTACCTTTACCTTATTAGCTAATACGATCAATTATACGCAATTTCTATCGCTTTTTTAACCCGCTGTAGTATGCTCTAACGTTACTTATTCGCCTGTGCTAAATGTGTTCTTTCAGTGGTCTTCTTATTAAAGTAAACATTATTAATATAATAGCTTTTACTTTATTCGGTAAAAGTATAGTTTAGGGTACCCCGTGGCGAAACTTGGCGATTTTTGGCGGTACATGGATGCCGATTTTGTGCAATTCTTTGACTCTTATTTTTGCTTGCGAAGCGGATTTTTGCCTACCACAAAGCCAAAATAATAAGAAAACAATTGCACAAACTCGGTATCTCTGTACATCGACTTATTTTCACTTAAAAAAATCCCCGAATGGCACAAATGGCATTTCGCACTCTTTTTAACTTTATCCATGTACACGTCGACCTATTTCATTAAAAAAAATCCAGAATTGCAAACTTCCATTGCGCACTCCCTACTTTGTCATGTACACATCGATATTTTCATTTAAAGTCAAAGGAGCACCAAATTCTACAATATAGGCAAACAAAACTACATAATCTCATAGAATACATTAAACCAAACAATAAAATAACATAAAAAGGAAAAAATGTTATACATTTAAGCACTACCAAAAGCAAATATTCACTTACCATGTTTTCGAGTTTCGCTTCGTACACCCAAAAGCCACGTAAAAATCAAAATATCAATCATATCAATGACTTTTTTAAACCAGGTACTCTTTTCTGATCGAACGCTTCACATAATGACCATCTGAACTTTCTTCTACAGACCCATTCAAATCATCTAAACGGTTTTTACGTTCGACTAGACGCATATCCTTCCTACATACAGGACATTATTATGGCACTCTAAGTAAACCTTCATTACACACCCAGTCAATTAAAGCTCTCTTCCCCTTTCGCTCCTATCGTACAGAAGCTTCAAATTACAATTAATTTACTACATTCGGCATCTACCGTCTAAGAATCAACCAACACAAACGCACCAAAAACGTTACAAACATCACCGATTCAAAATTTCCCAGATCATGCACCCGATTACGACCATAGGGCTTCCAACATTCAACTACTCAGGCTACCATAAATGAAACAACAACTTGGCGATAAATGAGACAACAACTTCGCCATAATACAAGGTTTACCTTAAAGTCTACTCTACCCCTTTATTCTTTTTTATTGAAATAACTATCCTAAGAAATATATTCGTTAATATTTAGAAAAATGTACTTCCTTAAACTCATTTTAAAATATGCTGTTCAGAAATCTTTTTCGCATCAGAAGGAAACGCGAAAATATTTTCGCAGGTATCTGCAATTTTACTCCAAAATCACGAATGCTCAAAACTGCACTTCATTAAGCTCCTTTTCAGAAGTTAACTTTTCTTGGAAATGCAGTGCAAAGAAGTGTATGCTCATCGTAAATAATCATAAAGTGTATTTTCTTACATAGCGTAATACCTTTTTTCAGAAGAAACAGAATGATATCTGACATTTGCAAAAATTATTTCTTATACATATGTATATAATAAATTATATTTTGCAAATTATAAGTCATCACTCATTTCTTTCTGGAAAAAAAATCCATCCGAAAACTGTGCTAAGATAGTTGTGCTAATATTCAAGTAAAGTGGACCAGGTAAAGAGACCAGTACGCAAGTAAAGCCTACACCAGGCTTTACTGTTTTCATATTTCTTTTTTACATTTTGCATTAGTGAAAATGTCCACCATTTTAGGTACAAGAGAATTCTGCTTACAGGCTTGTGGCTAGCACATCTAACTAGGAACCTGATGTCCATGGAATCAACTTATATATTGATTATACAGTGCATTATACAGTTACAACAAGGACACTGTCCACTTTTCATATTTCCCGCTGTACAAGTGTCCGACTGTCTAAGACAGCTGAATACTGGCATTTCAACCCAGGTTCAAATTCTGGCAAATAAGCTGATACTACGGGGGCTTTCATGATTTTTCTCGATACGTAGTGTAATATGAGCGAATTTCTTTTAGAACTTCTTCTATGAAGCCATCACTTGATGTGTAACCTTGATGTGTTTTGTCTTAATTGATTAAAACAAATAAAAAGCAAACAAGCACATTTTTCCTTTCTTCAACAGCAACCAAATGGTTGAGACTGCTGAAAATGGTAGTTTGACTGGTTTGAATTCCGGCGAATAAGGCGGCTGCGTAGGCGCTTTCGTAGTTTTCCCCATGTTTAACGTAGATGCGAATCAGTTTATCTGTGAAATCTTCGACGAAGGCATCCCTATCTTGAAGCAAATAGCCTTCGTGTGCTTTGCGAAATTCAACTAACCTTTTCTGAGAAGCTGCGTAAAGTAAGACTGCGATTTTCAATAATTTAAAATATCCAGTATTTGGCCGAACGGGTATCCTGTTCTTTGATCAACTGCCATTTAAGTGTGAAGAAATGTAGAAATTTATGGCATCTCTGTCATGTATGCCGTTTTAATACAGGGTTTGGGTACTGGTTTGGCATCCAGTTAGTAACTTGATACTATTTCGATCCAGTCGTTTTCAACTATTTGAATTCCGGTCGATCGCACTGTTGAACATTTGTTTTTCACTCTGAAAAATTTAATTGGTTTCGTATGATAATGTATTTAAGCATCAAGAAATTTTAAAATGCAACATCGACAATGAAATTTGTAGTTCATGTACTCCTTTAGTTGTTGACTAATATTCATTGCTATTAAAGGGGAGAAAGGAATGTTTCATGATGGTTTGGATACATACTTGTTCATCCTTTTACATAGAATGCAGCAGCTACTGTTTAGGGCGTTTTGGTTAGTACATTTAGGAAGCAATTTATGTTCCAGTAAATTGTGCATATGTTTTGGATGGTAGTAGTATTTGTTGCATGGAGGTCTTCATGGTCTATTCTAGGTGCAACTAAAATTCGAGACAGTTTATCATAGAGACACTTGAAAGGAGGCAGTTCTTCACTTAGAAGTTAACCCTCATGTATATTTTCTACAGTTTAATCACCAGTTTAAGAAGAGAACAGTCTCTGAAGTTGCAAAATGAAATGTTTTTAAATACAAATATTTTTATATTTTGGAATGTATATCAGTTAGAAAAAGTAAAACTAAATCCTTTGATATTTAAAAACAGTTCCATCAGCAAGAAGGAATTATCTAAGAAACTGGAAAATTAAGTCTTCTCCCCAACCTGAAAAAAAAAAAAAATAAAAAATAAAAAATAAAAAATAAAAATAAAATAAAATAAAATAAAATAAAATAAAATAAAAAAAAAAAAAAAAATAAAGCTTTCAATTTTGTATTCGCTTCTTTCTTCTAATTACCGATTCAATGAAACGGCCAGATAACTTGTATAGTTTCTTTATTCCAAAGATTCTTCAATGTCTCAGTAGAAATGTCTGTTTAATTCTGGTAATTCAACCCAGATTCCAATGTCACCTGACCGGCTGGCTGGACATTGGTTTTGTAGCATTCAGCAAGCACAGAACGTGAGTTTGAGCCAGTTTCTGCTAAAGCTTACTTACAGAAGATATTATTTTCAAGCCGAAATTTTCCGCAGCAGCTGCCTTAACTCAATTAACCAACTAAATTTTGCTACAACAAGAGTTTGGCTTGAATTGTAGGTCTTAAAAATGATTTAAAAATTAATTAGCCATAAGAAATATTACACATTTATATTTTATTAATTGTATAAAAATCAATCATTAATAATATATTTGAATTTTTTTTTAATTAACGATTTTCACAAACGTATACATTGACTTTTGGAGTACCTAAAAAAATTTCGATACGCTAATCAAAAAGATGTTGATAAAATATTGTATAAACTCACTATTTCCCGCTAGAATTTGTTCAATGAAATACCAATCATAAAATAACTCAACGGTCTTCTTTGGTTAATGAATTAATATTTCTTCTTTTCCAGTTACAAAGCGTTAAAAGTTGAATAGTCTTCAATACCTCGAAAGTATAGATATATATATATGTAGTCATCATCATCTCCGATAAAATTCATATAATTCTAAACTGCTCAGTTCTTTCCTGTCTTTTTAACGAAAGCTGTCCACTAAACTACTGTAATTTTAACAGTTTCAACCACAGGTCCTTGGTCAGTGGAACTCTCAGACTGGGGGTCTGAATGTTCTGTCTCACCTTCAGAACTGGCCCGCCGGAGACTGTCTTGACGACGAAGTAAACTGAAACAGAAATAAATGAACGTCCATTAGTCGTGATGAAATTTCATTGGCATATATTACACGAAATTACTCATACTCATGTTACACAAAATAAAGTTAATAGCATGCATTATAAACGGCGGGAGTGGATAACCTTCCAGACGGCCTTTTTTTGTTTTTCCGGAACGTAACCAGAAAGTCCTGAAAGAAATACCTTTGAACGAGAATCCACATAACCCACTTTCCAGATCATAGATAAATGCTAGGGATCGGACTGAGTTCCCTGACTGTAGCATTCAAGAAATTTTCACTTTTGCTTCGAAATGGATTTCTCAGAGCAATATTGGGCAAGAACAAAAGCAGTATAAGCTTTATGGTAATATCATGCTGTCCTTAGCTAATATCACCCTTTATATGACAGGCAACCCAATTTTTTTTATCCTGTTGTCCCTAACTCTGAAAAGCACGTTCAAAGAGGGAGCTTGCATTTCAAGTTGTAAAGGAACTCGTATCTCTACAGAGCCTTTGCAGGTGAATATCCTGCAACCAGATTACATTCACGAGCGCAGATCAGAGGTAAATCTCAACTAGTTACCAAGCTATATGGGTTTTATTAGAGAGTCATTAACTTAATCAAAAAGAATAGTAAACATGTAAGTAAAGTCTGCTGAAGTAACAGAAAATACAAATCGAAGAGAAACATGCCAATATATTAATTAAAATTGGGCTTTAAAAAAGAAAAAGAAACTTAGATTGGCCTATATTGTGAATAAAACTTCGTCGACTTTAATAACGATCTGATATAGATACGCCCAATGTCAACAGAAAATCAAGGTTATGCCCTTCTCAATACTCGAGTTCAGTGACATCAGTTGACTCAGAGAAATGGAAGAAACTAAGACACAAAAGAGCAGAGAGTATTTACTCTTGAACAAGTTATGAGCTAGTGACGTCATGCACTCACAATTTTTAGTCAGGATCAGAAGCGAAAAAAATACAAAAGTGGGAAGAACAAACAGAACTTAATGAATGACGGAAGCAAAGAGAAAACAGATTTAGCGGCTTTGTTAAAGAAAACAATAATGAAAGGTGAAACATTTAAGATATTATAATGTTAAAAACGTTGAAAGGATTATTTGAAATTTATACCATTATCAGTAGCTTTGTTTAAATTTATTCAAATCTAAAGCTTTTTATGTCCAATTTTAATGGCTGAAAGCTGTCATAATCTGACCAATTATATAGTTATTCTATTGCATAATTATTATCCTGTAAATTTGTGATCAAAGGATTTAATATTGTTACGAAATGTCCAGGCGCAGTGAGATAGCTTTCCCGCAAAGCAGATTTAGGTTTGCCACATTTGGCAAAGAATCGCCCATTTGGCGATAAAATTGGCGATGTGGCATGGACGGATGGAGAAACTTCTGGAACGAATTCTTACCGGTTTAGCCCAGAATGTTCTCGAACAAAAGCCGAAAACTATGTAAACCCTGCTGGTAAGCGGAGAGTCAGTACGAGATAGTCTCAAATTAATCTGTGCGGAGTCGATCGACTTGACAGCCGGCCAGCGAGTGCCGAGTGGGTCGTCGAGTGCATCAAAGAGTCTTAGTGTATCGAGGTTAGTGCATCGTCGAGAGAGTGTGTTAAGCTCCGGAAACGACTGAACCGAAGAGTCGGGAACTGTGCTGTGTGTTATCGAGTGCATCGCGAGTTGTAGCGTGGAGAGTCTCGAGAGTACGTGGAGTTCTGAGAACGACCGAGCAGATTCGGGAGCTGTACTCTGGTGCTTTGTAGTGTAGCTGTCTCCACCGTTATTGTCTGACAGTGTGAAGGCTGTGTCACTTATTGTTCCAGCATGTGTATAGTAGAACTTCGACGACTGTAAAAAGTGACTTTGGAGCTGTCATGATTAATATCGGCTAAATAAAGTGGGTTTCGATATTTCATCAAGTAGTGTTGTCATTATTCACTCCAAATCCGCACGAACCCCGTAACGAACGTGCCAAAGGAAGAAAATAACGCAACAATATTTAAATCCTGGAAAATGAAAACGTATCATATCCCTACACGTCTTCATGAGCCCATAATTTTCTCAACTCTTTGTTACACACATATATCAAGCAATATTTTGTTTAAATGTAAAACTCAAAATGAGATCAAGATAGCTAATACATATTTTCGCTACAGTTTCATAATTTCATAATTTTCTTTCGTTTTAAACTTACAGCCTTTACCGTGCCTGTAAATATAACAACTGTTAATTATTGTGTACACTTTAAATAAAATGGGCATAATGGAATTTTACAAAAGTGGGAAAAGACAGCTGTCATCAAGAGTCTTTTCCCACTTTTGTAAAATTCCATTATGCCCATTTGACAGCTGTCATCAAGAGTTACTAAGCTTTTGTTCACTGTCTGTACACCCTGTAGTAAGTATAGAATCTCTAGATACCACAGTATTCCCAATATACAACACTATCATGCATTGGCAATATGCTTAAGTTTATGTATTGAGTGAAGAGTATTGGCATCTAATTACGCCTTATGTTTATGTGATTAATGTGTTGTTTTCTTTTCTTTCTTTCTTTTTTTTTTTTTTTTTTTAATTTAAGACCCTTTCTCTTTATGTCTTGCACTTGACTATTTATACATGCTAATGTTACCTGAACTGCAATGTAACACAATCCTCATCTGCTCTGTTGCACTGTAAATACTTTTATTAATTTAAAGTTGCTGCTTCTACACAGGGGAAGGCGTGGGACATATGCCTGTTTACCACTGTTAAACACCAGGCGTCCCCGTCTTCCGTCACCTGTCATCTGTCATCAAGAGTATGGTAAAAATCTTTTAACTGTAAAATTAAATTATTATTATGGCAGCTACTGAAGGCAGTTTGAAACGTATGTCCCCACGCAAATGCACAATATGGTTCGTCTAAGCTTTAAAACCTTACTATACATTAATGGCAATTTCATATTGCAAAATATATATTACCTTACGAATCATATCGTCTTTCCGTAATTATTGTAAACAGTCTAGATAAATATTAACTTAGTATCGAACTCCATTAAAATTCTACCTGAGGCAACTTTCAAGAAACTCTTGTCGTTTTCTCGCATCTTAAGCAACTGAATTGCTTTTCCACGATACAAGCTTTGAGAAAGAGGAAACTGAATACAGATCTGATGCAATATTTGCAGTATTTTGTGGCGAGAGGCTTTTCCTAGAGAATTTTACGAGATGTATGCCTCTTGCTATGTTTGTTTTTCTTTGTTCCCGGAAAGAGGATAAAATTGTAGAAATGATAAACAATGAATGTGCTTTTGAAAACTCACGAATGCAACGGTCGGATGGTTATTGGAATCGTGTAAAGAATATTTTTCGGATATATTTTCTTCTAGGTATAAAATTCGTCAAGAATCTGAAGAAGTTTTCCTTGCATATGTTTTTGAAGCTGTTATCTTCATGTTGTGTCCTCGCTAACAGGAATTATATTTCAGCATTTGAATATCCTTTTCCACCTTTGAACTCTTAGTATTTCTGAAATTTAAATATAAATCTTATTACCTTTAAAAAAATAATCATTAAAATACTAGCCTTTACGCACAGACAGAAGAAAGAATAGTTTAAAAATGTCATACTATATTCTGATTCAGAATTATTTTGTCATTTTCAAAATTTTGTTTCCTGATTCTCAAACAATTGATTCTTCAAAAGAAAACAAAAAATAATAATTGAATGTATACTTGTAAAAATCTTTATTTCCGTTGATTTACGAATTTAATTGATTAATGTCATATGTAGTATTCGTGTTTATCAGGATATTTTTTTTCCAATCAGAATTTGTTCACATTTTTATAAAAGTGCATGTAAAAAGAAATGCATACTTTTTTGTAATACTAACGAACATGATCATTATTAGGCTCAAAAGTTTCCAAACTATTCTGTTTGTTTAGAAAAACATAGTGCTAAAATAATATGTTGCAAATTTGATATAAGTAGATAATTGAAAACATGCAAATACAGCTCTGTTTGGTAATGAAGCGCTGTTTTGAAAACTTTCGAGTATTACAAAATACTGATGAATTTTATCAAAAAACATACGTTTAGCAATAAAACAAAATTTCTTGTAGACATCACATGATTTCCTTGTACGTCTATTAAGTTATGCACATTTTTTGCTGCACTATGTTTCAATTTATTTCGTTTCAAAGGGAGATACGATCTTCCAGATCCCGTTTCCAACACCTCCTAACAGAAGAAAGCCAGGACACTGCAGCGAGAGGAAGCTCTGACGTCACAGACAGTCGTCTGACCCACCTCCCTCTTCCAACAATCTCAAAGCCCCGTAGGTTAGCGACGCACATGGCGCGATTATTTGCGTGAGCGACAAACGTCTGACTTTATATTGTCTTGTGATCTCATAATTTTATAGGATGCCTCATAAATGTGCTGTAACCGCATGTTGTAAGAATTTTAAATATGGCCCATTACTTTTCATCTGAGCCTGAACATCATATATTTTATAATGTTATGACTGCCAATGTGAACTGCCATGTAAAATGTGAATAAGAGAACTTGGAAAGTTCTCTACAAATGCATTCATCTTTTTAACCAAATAACCGTAATGTTCCCTGCTATACTCAAATAATCTAGTATAAGCCAAGCAAATTTTCAGTGAATGATTACCCTGGATTAAAAGACTGAAACTGTTCGTTTACCAAACCAAAGTTGATCATAATTCTTATTTCATAATTTACATCACTTATGCGTAGCTTGACTAACCAGAATATATAGGAGAGGAGGCCAATGGTGTGTCCGCGGTTCGTAGGTGGAACTACGAGCGTTCGTCTCTTATCCAAATTGCCTTTGATGGGCATCTTTAGCAGATAAGCTTAATTAATCGCAGATCATTTTATATGCTGTTTACAGATAAAGTAACGAATAAAGCACTGAGAAAAATTTATAATTGCTTGATTTTATAGAATATTTGGACGTTAGAAAAGAGCATAAGAAACG